TTGTTATTTATTTTTATAGTGATTTTTAAAACATTTCTAGAATTCAAAAATAAGAAAATTTTGATTCATAAATCCCAATTTGCCCTAATGGCGTTTTAAGGACTTTATATGTTACCGTACCCGCTGAAGTTAAATTTCAGTTTTATTGATGCTCTTACTGTACCCTTTTTATTGAACATATACATATATTTTATTTTCTACGTTAAATGAAATATGAAAATACATGCTATAAAATTTTCAAACTTAAAATCTGAAAATATCAATATAGAAATTTTTTGCAAACTCACGTTCATTGATTTTAGAAAATTTGTAATCGACATCAAATTCATGACTCTAAACTTTTTAATAAAATAAATGTAACGAATGTAATTTAAAATTTAAAAACATTAACCGATATCACTACCAACTTAATAAAAAATTAAACAATATTAAAAAAAAAATTAATTAAAAATTTTGTCGAAAATCAAAAATATGATTTTGTCTTAAAAACTCGAACATATTATTTATTTTTCATTTTTATAGTGAAAATTAGTTGTATTTATATTAAAAAGTAGCTACAGAAAATGTCTCATCAATTTGACAAAAAATTAAAAAATTTGCATTTTTTTGATTTTTTGAATTTTGTGAAAAAAGCTATAACTTTCGTTCAGCTTAATATTTTTCAATCGGATATGGCTATAAATTTAAGTTAGACTAATACCTAAGAGACTATAAAGTTTCGCTTTAATCGGTCAAGTATAGTCTTTGTGTTTATCCCGGACAAAATATCGCGGACAGACATACATACATACACACAGACATACATACATACATACATACATACATACATACATACATACATAATTTTTTTTATTGGCATTTTTGGAATTCTTACTACTTGAATAGAAAAACTAAATAGGAATTTTCAATTTCTATGCAATGTACAGACAAAAGTCTGATCTTATTTATAAAGATTAGGATATGGGTTTTTTAGATTTTTTCATGGGCTTTTGGGGGCACAGTCTATTTTCAAAAATTTTTTTATTTTGACACAAATTTTGAAAAAATAAATTTTCACTTTTCGCATCTTTGGGTCCATTTTTTCTTTTTCCTTTTATTTTTAAATAAAAGCTGAGCTTTTCTCTGATGAAATACTTGTTTTCCAAAAAACCGTTCTTTTCAAGAAATGAATTTTTGAATATAGCGCATCACGTCGTCGCGCCGCAATTTAATTTATAAAACGTTACATTGAACTATTTTCGGCATTTTACAGGGTTGAGACTGACATTAGAATAATATAATGCCTGCATTATAGTTTTTTTTATTTTTTTTAAATTTAAAAAAAAATTTAATTTTTTAAAATGTTTAACAAAATTTTTTTAAAAATTTTTTTAGACTTTTATTTCTAATTTAATGCCTACATTTTATTTATTTTTATTTCTTCCCTTTCTTTATTTTTTGATGTTGAAAAATTTCCTCCGATTTTTAAATATTTCAAAATACTGATTTCGTTACATTTTCAAAACAGGTATTTTATTTTTCTTTTTGTTGTCTGTTTTACTTTAGTTGTTTTCGACTTTGTCGCTGTACTTTTTGTTTTAGTGTCCTTATTTTTCTAATCTTTTGACTCGACAGGATATTCCTACAAATGACGAAAAATTGTTCTTTAAAATAACTTCGTTGGGTTTAAATTATGTGGAGTTTCCAGCATCAACAGATTCAAAAAGTGAGGGCACAAAAACAAAAAATTCAGAGACAAAGTTGAGAACAGCTAAAGTAAAAAAAGCTAACAAAAAAATAAAATACAGGCATTAAATTAAAAATAAAATTGCAAGAAAATTTTGTTAAAAATTTAAAAAAATTAAATATTTTTTTTTTTAATTTAAAAAAATAAAAAAAAACTATAATGCAGGCATTATATTGTTCTAATGTCAGTGTCAACCCTGTAAAATGCAGAATATAGTTCAATGGGACGTTTTATAAATTAAATTGCGGCGCGACGACGTGATGCGTTATATTCAAAAATTCATTTCTCGAAAACAAAAAAAACGGTTTTTTGGAAAACAAGTATTTCATCAGAAAAAAGCTCAGCTTTCATTTAAAAATAAAAGGAAAAAGAAAAAATGTACCCAAAGATGCGAAAAGTAAAAATTTATTTTTATTTTTTCAAAATTTGTGTCAAAATAAAAAAAATTTTGAAAATAGACTGTGCCATTCGAAAGCCCATGAAAAAATCTAAAAAACCCATATCCTAATTTTTTTAAAAAATTTTTCTTCTAATTATAAGAAATAATCGAAGTGGAGCGTGTCACGCAAAAGTTCAGAACTTCTACCCCCTCCCCCTCGGACAATTTTTTATACAATTCAAAAATATTTATCCGACAAATTACTAACCTATAGGGCATATCATAAAAAAAATTTGGGAATAATTGGACAACATTTTTTTTTGGGTGGACTTTTGACGTGATATCCACCATATACCTTTTATAAAAGAAAATTAAAATACAATTTAAAATTAAATTGTTTTGGATTAAATTTTACAAAATTTAGATTGTAAGAGTACTATGTACGAAAAAGGCTATTTTCCCGTATACTTGTTAAATAAATAAGTAAATAAATAAATAATTCAAAAGTTTTTCAATTAATACCTAATATTTTGAAAAATTCAATTAATTTAAAAAAAATTTCAATTCAAATTTTTCTAAAAACTAAATTGTAGGATTTTTAAATTCTATTGTTTCTAAAAAATTTATTGTGATTCTTTCAAAATTTAAATGTTTTTTAGAATTTTTAAATAAAATTTTTCTCTAAATCAATTATTTTAAACAATTTTTAGAAAGTTCTTTGACAAATTCAATTATTTAAATAAAAAATTCATTTTCTTAAAAAAATTGAAAGTGTAACTTTTTATTTTTTTGAGTTTTTAAAGTGAAAAATGATTCAAGGACAGTTCTTCAACATTTTCAAAGTTCACCAAAAGCAAGAATATTTTTGTAGCATTTCTAGAAATTTAATATTTTTCCACTTCTTTGGATAAAATTCCCTATCGAAATATGTAGTAGAATTTTAATAAAATAAGTCGATGAAGTTATATTAATTGAGTCCTACTGAGTTGACATAATTTAAAATAAATAAATAAAAAAGTACAATACTTAAACAATTTTTTTTAATAAAAAAAACCAATTTAAGAGTGGAAGATTTAAAATTGGCAGAGCTTATTATTCATTAGCAAACCAACAGCCAATTATTATAGTTTTATAATATTATTTTATTATAATTGATGCATGTGACGGTTTCCTGTGAAAAGGACGACAAACAATTATAGGTTATGTATTAGAAAGTTTCTGATTTATTTAAGATTTTTTTGTCGTTTTATAAGGTCTCTTTTACTAGAAAGCGATGACACTTATATAATATATATAATATCACATAATATGTTATAATAATTTATAAAATTATTATAAAAATAATTTTATAAATAATTTTTTTTTTAATTTATAGATTCAATTTAATGTCATACGTATAATATCTTTTTTATATTCTTTCTCAATGTGAAGTTCTATCTCAAAATGTAGAGTAGAAAAATTACAGAGCTATTTATAATTCTTTTTTTCTATAATTTAATTCAATTTTTGCATGGCGTAGTTTGAATTTTTCACTTTTTAAATCTCAAACTCTATGTTTCATTCTATTTTTACATTAATTTTCACTGTCAGTCTTTTTCTGTCAGTGTTTTAATATACATATTTATATAATGTATTTCTTGAATATTTCAGAACTGATTTTTATCATTAAATTTAATTTAAAAGAATTTTTTTTTAAAAAAAAAAGTTAATTTTGACTTCCACTTTTCCATTAAAATATTAAATAAATTGAACTAAATTTTTCTGAAGAAGTCTAGAATATGATGAGGAAGGTTAGTGATGAGGTGGAAAAGTTTTAATATTTTTAAAATTAATTATTTTAAAACATTTTAAAAATTATTATTTGGGACGGTCACTCCTAATATATAACCTCACTTTTTCTTTTATCGATTTCAAAGTGTTTTATAATAATTAATTTTAGAAATATTTAAACGTTTGCACATCACTACTTTTCTTCGTTATATTTTAGACTTCCTCGCAAAATTTCAGCTCAATTTATTCAATATATTGAGAGAAAATTGGGTGAAAAATGATACAAATAAATATTTGTTTGATTAATAGTCAAGAAAATCATTTATTTGAATCAAATTAATTTTGCTTCTTCATAAGGAAAATTTGTATTTTTTCAATGGAATTTTGAATTAAAAAAATTTCTTTCAAATTTATTTTTTAGCAGAAAATTTTGTTTTCTAATTTCTATTTAAAAAAAAAAATAAATATTTGAACGTTCAAGTGAACGAAACATTTTTTTAGTATATAAATATTTTCAATACTCATTGAAATAAAAATGGATAAATTAAAAATGTTGACATCAATTCTTTTTTAATACGGGATCCAATATTATTTATTTATTATTTATCATGAATTTGAAGAAGAAATAAACAAATTTTGTTCAATTGACCGTTCAGAACTTTAAGGAAATAATAAAAATCAGTTCTTGAAATTCAAATAAAATTGTAGCGATTCTACATGAGACATTCCAGGTAAAACTTTCATTAAAAAAATTTTTTTTTTAAAACAATTTTGTTCGAATTCTGTGTGGAAAATAAGAAAACACGTATTTTTTTATTTTTTTATTGATTGAAAATTGTGGAAGTTGTGGAAATTGTGGAAATTTCATTCTTTCTTAGCCTTTATTGTATTAGAAAGAAACGTGTTTCCAAAATCTTCGGCTTCTGGTGAAGTGGAACTTAAAACATCCATAATTTTCATCCTGAGACAAAACAAAAAATACGTGTTTTCTTATTTTTCATACAAAGTTCGATAGAAATTGATCTACAAAAAAAAAATTTTTAGTGAAAATTTCATCTGGAATTACCCCTATAAAGAAAATTTTCCAAAAGAAAGCAATATTGACATCTTATCATATGGTTATAGAAGTCGTAAACTGAATATGCAATTGGAAAACGCCATTCAAGAGGCAATGGCAGAATTGGACAAGGCCAGCGAGTCTCGGGCTATTTCGAAGCAAGAGGAAAAGATAAAAATTGTGAATAGCAGCAACAGTAGCAGCAGCAATGGACAAGGTGCTAAAGGGTCCAAAGTCAGCCCTCTGATAACAACCTCGTCCAAGGCCGCGGCAAAGAAAATAACGAAGAAATCCGCAGAAAACTCCACAAAATCAGAAAAGAAACAATACCGGTGACCTTAAAAAAAATTATTGTAACCCGGTGATGACGCGTCAAAGACGTGACTGATATAAATTTTTATATATATATATATATATCCACGAGAAAAAGGACCTTATGACAAGAGTAAATAAGGTCCCTTTTCTCGTGGAGCGTCACATATATATTAATTATATATATTATATATATATATAATTAACTGATACATAGATATTGTTAATATTTTTTTATTTTCTCCACCATTAACATAATTTGTCATTCACATCTTTTATCATCGTCATTTTTCGATTATATTTTATTTTTCTTTATTCATTTGCCATCGTCATATATTTTATTTGTAACTATGAACTCTGACACATCTTGTATATAATTAGGCCTAATATTGTAAAGGAGAGAATTCCATTTTTCGCAACAAAAAATATATTAACAAAAAATGGAAAAAATACTCACGAAATTAATAAATTAAACTCGTCGGCAAAAGTCACTATAAAACTCGCGTGTTTTCTTACTTTTAACCCTCCGTCACACACATGGGAAAAAATTACGACTTTACACACGTTTAGAGGGAATCCCTCACCACATTGTAAAATAAGCAAAATTACAACATAAACAAAGGAATCAACAAAAATTTAGTTTTAACATAAACTTACAAATATGTAGTAAATTATTCTAAATTATAAAATTAATGTTCGGTCTCAAAAATAAAAATTAATTACACGAATGCACATCTTCGAAGGAATTCCACTTGACATGTAAAAATAATGTAACATTAACAAATAAGCAAAAAAATCATTAAACAATTCATTTTAATTATATTCATAATATAATTTTGTCATTAACCAACAGTGGAACAAAAAATGTTTTGAAAACTTGATTTTTTTATTTAACATAACCTCACTTTTTCGAGTTTTTTCTGGCTTTGAAGCTTCATAATTAAATATTAATTATGTTTAAACTAAATGTTTTTTTAGAAATGTGTTGAGGAGTAGATTGTCGAAAGGTATAGAAACTGATTATATTTTGCAATGAGGAAAACAAAAGTTATTTAATAAATACTGAAACCGTAGAGGGAATCCCTCCCTATGTGTGTGACGAAGGGTTAAAATTCTTTGAAAATTAAACAAAATAAATACAGTGGAACCTGAATTTTTTTGAATTTTATTACAGTAAGAAATCCTTAAAACATTGTTTTATAATTTTGTAATATTTTTACAATATTTTGGAACTATAAGTGAAAATAATTTTTGTTGGACAAAACAATTTTTTAAATAGAGTTCCATTCCGACAGGTTTGACTGTATAGAAATAATTAAACAATTAAAATAACAATACATTATAATTTTACGATTATAATTATTTAATAAAGTAATTTGTTGATATGCTAGAAAATTCAAAAAGAAATATAAAAAAATGTCTTGAAATTATAATTATTATTATTTATATTACATATATATTTATTATTATCAATTGATTAATAATAAATAAATGGCTCGTTTCATGCCTTGTTACGAAACAAATAAATAATAATAATTATTTATTTAATTGTAGTTTTTATTATTGAAATTATCGACAAGTTTCGAACGTTCGAGTGAACGAAATATTTTTTATTAAAACTATTTTCATAAATTAATGATTACAGTAAAATTATGTATTAAAAATTCAAAATTCAAGGTTTTTACATTCAGAGGCTTTATAATTAATTTTTTTATAGTGAGGCAAAATTATTGAAATTATTTTATTTATTATTTTCTTGCAATAAAAATTTAAGTAAATTTCGTTTATTTCAACGTTCAGAAGTTTATAATAAATAAAAATAAATATAATAAGAATAGTAATTAGTTTTTATTATTATTATTTTAATTATTATTCTTCACATAATAGTTATTATTTAACTATTGTAAATTAAATAATAATTATTTACAAAAAAATGTATTTTTTCGAAAACGGGATAATTTTGAAATTATTTTTCAAAGAATTATTTGCGAGAAAACTTTTCAAATGTAAAAATTAACATTTGACGACGAATTTAATTTCGATTAGAGTAGGGAGAGGGAGGGGTTTTTATTGTTGTATCATTGTCATTAATTGTAAGATAGATTTATACATATAAATAATAATAAAACTTGGGTGGGAAAAAATAATATTAACTGTCAAAAAGAAATTTGTCAAAAATTCAATCAATAAATTATTCACAAAATTTGAACCACCTGCTTTTAAAGATTCGTAAAAATCAAAATTTTTTTTAATAAAAATAAATGTTATCTATGGTATAGATTTAAAGTTATTATTAATTATCAATTTTTAATTTTATAAAAAAATATAAAGAATAAAATTTATTAACTATTATTATAATTAACTTATTAATATTATTAAATAAATGTATTAATTATACTTGAATATTATGTAAAAATTTAATTTTAAGAAATGAATTTCGAATTATTTATTAAAATAATTTTTTTTGATGGATTATTTTTAAAATTCTATGGAACGAATTAAAAAAATTCGTTAAAACAAAATTAGAGAAAAGGTTTAAAATAAAGAAAAGGAAAAATTACGAAAGGAAAAGTAAACGGCTAAAAAGTAAAATTTTTTCATAAAAAGAGAAAATTGTATCAAATAAAATTTTATGGAAAACAAAATTGAAAAATAAGAATGAATAATTTATTATAATAAAGAATGAAGAAATTCATTTTAATAAAGAATAAATAAATTTAATTTATTTATTATTTAACGAATGGAAATTAAATAAAACGAGTCTGCAGGTATTTTCAAATTTTACTCAATCAAAAAGAAAATAATTAAGAGATAAATTTTCACACTCATAATTAAATATATGACAGTTATCAAAAACAGCATGCAAATAAAATTAAGTTCCTAGATTTTTGTAAAATTTAATAAAAAAAAGAAATAAATAGTAATTTATAACAAAAGGTAAATAAATAAAATGGCAAATGATTCCTCTCGCCAAGTATCAAAGCTGTAACGGGTTGTATGTATATATATTTTTTAAATAATTGTAAAATTCAACAATACGCTATTTCGTTGATATAGAAACGATTTCAACTAGCGTCATTTATATAGTAATTGTAAATATTATAGCAATTTTAATCAGAAACGTTAAAAACCAGATTTTTAAAAGTGATTTATGCTACAACAACAAGAGTTTAAAAATGAAAAATGAAAGTGCATCGCACCAAAAAAAAATGTATAAAAATCCTTTTCTGTTATTCTGTGTGTTCAAAGCTGTATTTAAATTTTTAATTTTTATAATTACATTTTTATAAGCGATAGACAAATTTTTAAAACGGAAGAAATTATTTTTCCGAGATTCAATTTTATATAAATTCCGAATCGATTTTAATATGGAACGATTTCATAAAGCAAATTATTGTAAAGTGATTTTATTCTAAAATAATTTTACTACAGGAATAGTATATTAAGCAACAAGGGTATAAAGGCAGCCATTTATTTACGGTGATTTTTGTGACACGAGTGGAGGTCGAGGTCATTCACTTGTTCGACTTGTATGAAAACGGCAACCATTTTCATACGGTCGAACAAATGAATGACTTTCCTCCCTGTCGTCTGCTATCAGAAAGCGACATTTTTGTGCATGTGGGATAAAAAATGTATTTTATTGAAGATTTTTTTATTTAATATTTTCGAAACGAAAGATATTGTTTTATTTTTAAATATTTATATCACGATCTACATGAAAGTAGATGAAAAATTGTCATAAAATTTATTTGAATTACTGAGATCGAATTTCAAAAATTCAAAATGACCGATTTAAGATAGTGGAAGAATTGCGATTTGTTCGAATTCAGAGAAATATTTTCCGAAAACATATTTTTTAAATTTTATTTGTCTTAAAAACTATTTTTAAAATTCCTTATTTATGAACCTAAATTCAATTTTTAATTTTGTATTATTATTTTAGTAAATTGTTTTTCTTATTTTTAATATTTAATATTTCTGAGAAAATAAAAATTTATTTAAAAAATAATAAAATTTATTTGTTCTTAATAATGTTTAAACGAAAATTTGTTTCAATCTTTTCAAATTTTACCAACAAATTCAGAACATTATTAAAAAATTGTTCCGCCGTTTTAAATTTTATTTGAAACTTATTTTTATTGTCTTAACTTCGAAAGATGAGGTTTTTTTATAAGAGACCATTGTACAAAAAGAAACATTTATAAAAACAATTTTAATGGGGAAATTTTGATATTTTAAATCCTAAAGATTCGCAATATTATACATGTCTTTATATTACTAGATAAAAATAAAAAATTCAATACAGCTTTGTACGCATTTTTTTTATTATTTTAAGTATTACGAGCGCTCTCCAACAAAGAGGGAAACAAATTTGTATTACACACTTTTAATAACGAATGTTTTTTACGATCAAAAATAACTTGCATTCTTTTGTAACTTTTACGTAAAAAATTTTCAATAATAACTTTTTTTCACTCAAAAAAGAATTGAAAAACTATTATTAAAACAAGAAAAAAATTGTTTTTGCGAGAATACAATGTCCACTGAAGCAGAAAATTGTCTCCTAATAAAAGAACGCATTTTTTTTCTCAATTTTTGACGACAAGAAGCTGTTTTTCATAAAGAAAGATGAATGAAAAAATTTAAATGAAAATTAATTTTTGTCCTTTGAATTATACAAGTTTTATAAATTTTTTTGTTGAGAATTAAAAACAAAAGCGTCACTAAGGTAATCTTGTAAAAATCCGATGTCAAAAGTAAAGTAACTGATGAAATTTACAAAAGAATTATGAAAGAAGAAAAGAATTCTTGAAATTCTTTTTTGTAGTTAGCTTCAAAAGGGTGGAATTCGAGAAGACTGTGACTTTTAATAAAAAAAAAGTATTTTGGTAATATGCAAACACTTTGAATAGTTTTGTAAACAGTAAAAAAGTTTTATACAAATTTTCTTGAAAGAAAGGTTCAATCCTAAATATATTTGCGAGATTGTAAATCAAGATCAACATTTCATAATAATATAATTTTTACAATTTTACCAAAGCAATGCAAGAGTAATTAAAAAAAATAGCGAGAGAGGGAGAGAGATACTGTCAACATTTCACTAAATCTCGATTTTTAATCCCTGTAAGTTTTATACCACATACAGTTTTACAATGTTTTACCATAATAGCAGTAAAATAATAAATATTAAAAAACAAACAATGATTGCATGAGCAAAAATAGTTCAAAATAGCATAACAATACACAAATTTTATCTAGTTTTAATTATTCTTTTGCCGACAAAGAGATAAAAACAAAAAGATTTCAAAATATGTAGAAGATTTTTAATTTAAAATGAGAATGAAAAAAATTTTTTTTTTAATTTTAAAAAGAGGTACATGAAATTTTCGACTTTTTTGCCCAATGATTTTTGAGATTTTAATTTTTCTCAATGAAAAATAAAGAGAGAATTGGGTTTGAGAAGAATTTGGAGATTATTTTCTTGTGACTCTTTTAAATGTCAGAGAAGACTAAATGACAATAAGCGAGATGAAAGTATAAAAAAAATACTGTTCGAATGTAATTCGCTGAAATAAAAATT